AATCCCCAGCCCGGGCCCGCCAAACAACAATGATGGCTGCAACCAAAAAAATGGCCAGGTGTTGTGGCGGGTGCCTGTAGTCCCAGCTACTTGGGAGGCTGAGCCCAGGAGTTGGAGGTTGATGTGAGCTGTGATGCCATAGCACTCTACCCAGGGGGATAGCTTGAGGCTCCGTCTCAAAAAATAAAATAAATTAAAATAAAATAAGAAGACAGCTCAAAACAGTGAAGGCGTGTTCTCTCTCCTTGAAAGTACACAAGACTTAACAAGCCTGCTGCATCACAGACAAATCCTAAAATTACAGATGCCAGGGAAGAAGGCAGAAAACTAACAGCCCGTGAGTAGGCTGCTGTGTGACCACAGGAAAAGTGTGGACCAAGCGGAATTTGCTATCCCTTTGGGCTGGGCAGGTGCTATGATTCATTGTGAGTCTGCTGTTCTAAATATTCTAGAAGGTTAAAATTTGGAAAATAAGGTGTATTCTCTTCATTCTGGAACCTAGCTCATTTTATTTTGGATCATTTTTATTTGCTTGGTTATTTTCCAGAGGAATCATTTTACCCTGATATTTGCAATTGATTTTGCTGATCTGGCTTGGCTAGCCAGTCCCAGGATCCCAGCCCTCTGCACTGGCCTCCTGGTAGGGAGGCCCTTCAGTGTGACCATTAGAAGGCAGGGTCAAAAGGAACCATATGCAATAAGGACATTTCCTCCATCCGGCATCCCGTCTGGCAATTGGGCAACCACTTCTTGGTGCTCCGGGGGCCACGACATTCAGCGCTATCCCCATTCCAGTGACGGTACTCAGCCTCTCCCACGCGCGGTCCCCAGGATTGTGTAAGGGTGTAGGCTCGGCCCTGACTCACAGGGAAGAGGCGATTTTATCCTGTGAGTCACTGACACCACTTCCTGCTGGCACATTTGAGATTTCACTGAAACACAACCTTTGAAACATGAAGGTAGAGAGATGAAAAGATGAGCTTCACATTCCTAAAACCCATTTGGAAATCTGACAGAAACAATGGCTTCTGAATGCATTTTGATTTTTGTAGCTATGTTGAAATAGAAGTTCCACCTGTCAATTTTGAGTCCACATATCATCGATACTATATCTCCTTGCCCTGAATTCTTCTGTGTCTTAGTAGAGCTTGCCACCAGTTCTGATTTTTTAACACCATGTAAAATACTTAGTATCACCGTGAATTATTTTCTTAGCAAGGATCTATTATCAAGGATGAAATATAATATTAGTAATTGAATCATAACATAATTATGTCCAATTAATGCTAATAGAATTAAAAATAGGGAAAGATTAAGGAACTATATGGACATAATTTTACCATTTATTCCTTCCCTGTGTGACCGTACAATACTGAGTAGTGATTCTTAAGGGTGAAAGGATGATGACAGATGACTGTGTAACCCACTGCAGGTGGTTTTTTTCAAACTTCTGGTCAGCCCCACCTACTCCTCCATCTCGGCTTGCAAGAGTGTGGGGCAGAGGCGTGCTGGAGAGACAGTTGGGGGCAGAGGCGTGCTGGAGAGACACTTGGGGGCAGAGGCGTGCTGGAGAGATACGTGGGAACCACAGAGCTGTGCAGAGGGACTCATGATTTAGAGCCAATTTTGGTGCTTTGGGGCAGCAGTCACCCATGATGGAACTGCAGTTATATTTGAAAGGACCATTTAAGATTATTTACAGTTCCATCTGTAAAATATCCTGCTGTAGGATTAATGCAGCAGGTCTCACAGAAACTATCTTGAACCATGGACTGTGTCCAAGGGAGAGTCGCAGGGAAGGAAAGCCCGGTTTTCGAAGAGGCACACCCTGGGCTGAACATTCTTTAATTAACAAAGACAAATATTTCACCTGTGGCCTGAATAACTGGAACAAAGTTTCCAACAGTGGAAAAACTAACAACTTCTAAAAACCTTATAAAAAAAGACCAAAAAGCAACACCCCTAAGCGCACTCTACCTTAGTTGAAGGCTGTAGTTGTAAGCCAGTCTAAACAGAAAAGTCCAAGCCCAGAGAAGCCAGTTTCAAGTGTGTGTTTTTTCCTGGCTACGAGTTTCCAGCAGGAGAATCTGCTCCACAGTTTTCCTCAGTGGAAGCGCGGAGGGGCAGGAGAGCCAGGGGTGGAAACACAGTCGGCCAGCTCCCCAGGCCCCCCGAGAGAGCTGTGTGGCAGTGAGCGTGTATGGCACAGTGATTGTTGAGATGTAAAACAAAATGGACTTGGGTGAGAATCTAGCTAATCCTCCTTAAAAAGTTAAGTAAAAAATAGATTTCATCTCTGTTGAACTGGCAGAGCCGTTATTTTTTCGTTTAAGAAAAATAATATTTGGGGGTCTGTAAGAACATTTAAAGCAACATTCATATTCTAGGAAAACCATGGAGTGTGGAGGGGACAGTTCTAAGCCTTTAAAGAAAACAGAGTTTTCGAATCATTGGACGAGTGTGAGACTTGATGCCAAAAGGTGGAATTTGAATTCTCTTCGGTGGTCACGAGATGGGTGGTCTTGCACAAGACAGTTAATCTAAACCCACGGCGGTTATTTGAGACTAATAACTACTTCACAGGATTATTAAGGGCCAAGTAGGAAATACAAAAATATAAACTATTTTATGTTAATTTGATGTGTAATTTAATTTTTAGAACCCCAAGAATATGCGATTTGCTTAGGAGACACATGTCTTCTCTAATTAAGAAAAAAATACAATAAAATTCCTGTATTGTACAGATTAAATCATCATTTAAAGTAGCTGTTTATGGAGATTTATAAGCTTGTTCCAGACCAGGAGGGGGAGCTACCCACATGTACTGCTAAAACTGGAGGCCAGCTCCAAGTCAGCGCCAAGGAACATTTTCACCACTGTCTGCTCAGGCATTTCAGAATATTTTCCCATTTCATTCTCCTTAAAACTTAAAACCTACCTTAAAAGATAGGTAAAATTAATACCCAGAGAAGTTAATTAATTTGTCCAGAATCACACAGTTCCAGTTTTTCTCCATGGTTGCCTTCCCAGCAACCTGTGTAGCCTCCCTGTGGGCTGAGATACCCGGCTTCAGTTACAGCCACCCTGGTTTGCTCTGTGTGGGGTCCTTTGTATTCTGGTATCACGGCCTACTTCCCGGTTCTATAACGTGGCCCATGTAATGACGCGTATACTTGGAAAAGTTATTTAGACTCTTTACCACTCAGTGTTTTTATGCATCTAGTGGGGATAATAGTGGTATCTTCCTCAAATAGTCACTGAGATAGATAAGGTGACGAGAGCCACAGATACCACAAAGTGCAGGTCTGAGAAATGGTCACCACTGCTAAGGCCTCCTGTCACCAGCACCATTAGTGTTGGTGACAAGACAGTTCTTCACAGAGGCTAGAAAGACTGGTGGACGTGCAAATACCTGAAGGTTAAACAGAGGAGGCTAAAAGCTCGTAAGCAAACACACGTGCAATCAGAGGGCTTCTTATCACGCTTTCCGTACAACCCAGAAACTCCTGGGGTCGGTCTGATGCTGCTTGCCAGAATTTATCTTCTCACCAGACACACATGATGAAGTGGCTTGTTCAGATTCTTCCTGTGATCAAAGAAACTGGTTTCTGGGACTCTGTCGTCCATCTGGCATGTCTGTCTCTTCTCAGATTAGATACGATATATTCTGATTTTTACTGGGGTTACATTTTATCAGCTGAAATCTGTGCCTGTGGTCACAGCTGCTCGGGAGGCTGAGGTGGGAGGAATGCTTGAGCCTAGAACTTTGAGGCCAGACTGGGAAACAAAGCGGGACCCCCACAATCTCTTTTAAAAAATTAAAATCTACTTTCACATGTGATCCAGTGAAAGGAATCATTTAGGCATTTGAATTGACAATGAATGTTTCTGAGGTTGGGGTTCCTGTCTGGTTGTTACAGTTAAGTAGAACTTGATTTTGTCTAGAGCCATCTTCTGTGAGGGAGTCTACCTTGGAGCATTGCTCTGAACATGTCATAGAGTCAAGCAGTGGAAATTAAACTTCAAAACAGGTTTTAGGGAATGTTACTGTGAAATGTTTAGAGCAGGCCAATTCTGTATCTAGGAATATAATGCCAAGGCTTTTACCCTTGGACCGAAGAGGTGGGGTTCATTTATTTTGAGTTGTGTGCCTGTTTCTGTGAATTATTTTCTTTTATGGTTTTGATGGATCAAATCCTTGAACTATTTAAAACAAATTATGCAAATTCGGTCATTGCATTGAAATTTGATCGAGCTTTCCTTCCTTGAGATACTAATTATACATTTGATTTTCCTCCTTAAATAGCTTTGCATTTTCTACAAGCAACTCTCAGTACAACCGTGATTCCATCATGCATCCCAGGAGAGGCTGAGGATAATTGCACAGCTTTAGGTAAGCCCGGCATTATTGCATCAAGGGCTTTGCCCATTCTTAAACAGAAATTCAGACTCAGGGTTGGGTGCTGTGGCCCACACCTGTAAACCCAGCACTCTAGATGGCTGGGGCAGGTAGATTGCCTTGATCTCAGGAATTCAGGAATTCAAGACCAGCTTGAGCAAAAGTGAGACCCCTATCTCTTCTAAAAATAGAAAAAAACAGCAGAGCATGGTGGTGGGCACTGTAGTTCCAGCGACTGAGGCAGTTAGGTAGGAGGATAGCTTGGGCCCAAGAGTTTGAAGATGCTGTGAGCCATGATGCCACAGCACTCTACCCAGGGTGACAGAGTGAGACTGTCTCCCCCCACTACCCAACAAAAGAAAGAAAAAAGAAATGCAAACTCAGAACTATAAATATCTGACAATGAAAAAAGAGAGCATAGCTGTTTTATTAATTTAAAACTACCTTATGAACTAGAGTTCTGAAAAAATTATATAAAGGTATAATTGGTGGGAGAGGGGCCAGGCATATAACCATAGATATATGATATACATAAATATTTAAATCTAAATAGACAGGAAACAAGGAAAATCAAATTCCAGATTCCTCCGGCTATTCCCTGGAGCTTTACTGCAGAACTATCATCAGAAACCAGCCCCACAGACTGGACTCCAGACAAACCTCCTTACACAGTGTTTTCTCTCTCTCTCTCCCTCTCCACACACACACACATGCACACATGTATATGCATGTGCGTGCGACCCTGTGCATACTGAGCCTCCTTTACAGCAGATGCTCTGTAAGGTGACCACCCAAGGGACTGTAGCAAGCTGGTCAACACACAGAGGTGGCCAACGTGAGGAACTAGGCCTGCTGTGCTGATACGTACATGTGGTGCGTGTCTGGCTGGCCAAGTTATGGGGGTGGTCAGTGGAGGGAGGGGGCCGGCTCTGGAGGGTCCACTGCATATACTGTAAGAGGAACAAATGATGTGCTCCCTTTCCAGTCCCGGGGTTCATTCAGAACACAGCCCTGGAGTCCGTAACCCCTGCCAGACACCACGCTCAGTCACAGAGACACAGAGATAAGGAAAGCGGAGTTTCTCCCCTCCGGGTCTGCAGATCTGAGATGCGGTCACACAGGGACCCACTTTGTGTTCAGTCTGAGCTGCTGAGTCAAAGATTATCTTGAGAAAACGTGACATTTTCCGAAACAACTTTGCCTCCTCTCTTGCCTCTCACGGTCAGGCTCTCTGGAAGTTTGGTCAGCCTCCCCCACCACCCAGTTTTTCCTTCTTTGGTTATTTGGGCGAGCATATTACAATCAAGGTACTTTTAAAAAACAGTTTTTATAAGCATCCTTTATAAGCCTCGTAGATGGCTTCAGAACTAGACTGTTCTGAAGTGACTTTCTCCCCTGGGCTGCGACCCTGTGGGTACTAAGCCTCTTTTCTGGCTGTCTTCTGGCTTTGTGGCCCTCACAGAGGCATCTCCACCTGGGGTCTGTCCTGCCTGCTTCAAGGTTCCCTGTTACACATGCTGGGTGGCCTTGATGGATTTATTTGACGGTAACGTCAACAATTTAAGAACACACACCAAAATAAGACTTGCAGGCACAAAACCGTTAACACAGTAAAGTGCTTTTGAATTTATAATGGTTTCAGCTTATAATTTGGGGGACAGTAATACACTTCAGAAGTGTTTTGAGACTTGACGAAGTTAGAAAAGTTTCCTTCTGGAGAAGGGAATGATACACATCTACTGAGGCGGATAATGAAATGAGTATGTGTGAAACTCGCCTTTTCTAGTCTTGAAATTTGTCTTTTGAGAATTAAACCTTCAAGAATTTCTTATTTTGTTTAGTGCCTGTGGGACGTTTTCCTTTGGGTTCAGGGGTTTGTTTGGGGGTCTGGAGAGTGTGACAGTGACTTCCTACTCCTGAAGGGAATCCTCTACTGATTGGCACCCGCCCTGTTTGGCTCGGTGGTGGTTATTGTATCGAAAGGCAGTGGAATGTGTTCAACTTCCCATTTCTGTCACAGTTCAGACAGATGACAGTCCACGGGTGGCTCAAGTGTCCATAACAAAGTGCGGCGCTGACATGAACGGCTACTGTCTGCACGGACAGTGCATCTACCTGGTGGACATGGAGGACAATTACTGCAGGTAACGTGCCGAGGACACGCGGGAATGTTTGTAAGGGTACACTTCTCTCTCACTCTCTCTGTTTTATATTTCGAAGTTATCCTATGTTCCCATGACCTGTTGGGATGCAGTATATATATGCTTTTTGTACATATATGTGTGTGTGTATATATGTTATTAGCAACTTTATTAACTGAGTCTTTTAAAATAAGGGAACAAAGCTTTCTAATTCTATAGGTGCTCCCGGGGACAGAGTTGGGGGGCTCCAGATGCCTCCCTCTCGCACTTGCCCTGATGGCACCTGTGCTTATGATCTTGTCCCTGGACTTCCACAGCTGGCGTTTTATGATTTAGACAAAGGGTGATTTAAACTTACAAACACCATTCTAGATTATCAGTCACCCCGGCAGCTGAACCAGTCATTTTAATACCACAATTCCGCCAAATGCTTTGTTAAGTCTTTTTGTCAACACTGGCCCAACTCTGAGGTCATCTTTGAATTCACCTTTGCAACTTGCAGCCAATTTTGCCAGTTTCTTACTTACGGTGTGAGGTTAGTTTCTATGAAATTGATTCATAACCATGATTTCTTTTTTAAACAACTGATCTTTCTCTTCCATTTCCCTTTAGATGTGAAGTGGGTTATACTGGTGTCCGGTGTGAACACTTCTTTTTAACTGTCCGCCAACCCTTGAGCAAAGAATATGTGGCTTTGACTGTGATTCTTATTCTCTTGGTTCTCATCATAGTCGCTGGTTCCATATACTATTTCTGCAGATGGTAAGCCTGTGTTTTATTATTCTCTGATTTTATAAATTACTTCTGCATGGTGTAGTATGTGAAAATATGGAAAGGTATTAGAGCAGTAAGATAGAATCTGCAGGGATGAATTTCTCTCTCTTGTTAGCTCTGTTACTTACTCCCTAGGTGATTTAGTGCAAGTCAGATGGGGAATGTTCAGTCTTTCCCCTATAAAATACAGACAGAAATTCATTACAGGGCTATTTTTATTATTGAAGGTGATCAATACATGTGACAGTAAACCAAAAAGCCTCATGTTTTACTTAGCAACCTATATTGAACGTATTAGACCAAATTTTGAATTTTATAAACCACAGCCCTATGAATTAACAACCTTGAAGGCTTGGGATCTTTAAACTTAAGATGGACTAGAAGAAACAAGCTACCAATTACAGATGCTTACTGTTAAAAAGTGGTTCGTGACAGTCCTCTCAAACCTCACACTCCATCCTCACATATGATATTGTCACATGCTGAGGACTGAAGAGAAATAAAGAGGGGGCATGATGGTAATAGTGGCAAGTGTGAGAACAAAATAAGGTGTGTGCAACCCTCAGAGCATTGTAGGTCACCTAATTATTCCTTTTTTAACATTTTGACTGATGAGGCATTATTTTGATGTGATGGTAGAAATGCAGTGATGTGGTGTAGTATTTGGAATACCAGTTCCTAAGAAGAAGAGAGAAAAAAAGAGGAAAAGGAAGAAAAAGAAGAGGGGGGGAAAGAGAGAAAGAGAACAAAAAACAAAACTCAGACTTGAATGTGGTCACATGCCCCTCCTGCCCCCGGAATTTCATTTATGATCCTGTTGATGGCTTTGAGAAGTCCTTTAACTATTTCACTATTTTCTTTCCAAAGTTTTGACTATAGAACAACACTCCTAACACCTCCATCTCCATTTCTGAACCTTATCTAACCTACACCCTTTCGCCATTGCCATTTTGGAAACTGGGCTAGTGCACCTTTGACGCTTGTCTGTTTGGTTTTTTGTAAATGTGCTTTGTCATTACTGTTAACTGCAGTGCTAACAGTTTTTATCTCTGAATATTTCCAGGTACAGAAAGCAAAAGAGTAAAGAACAAAAGAAGGAATATGAGAGGGTGACCTCGGGGGACCCAGTGTTGCCCCAGGTCTGAGTGACACCGTCAAACCTACCGGCGAGGACACCGATGCCTGCTGGATGCTCCTGTTCCTATTTTATTAATAATATTTATGTTAGGTCATGCGTCAGGTCAACAACAGTGTATTTTTAATTTTAATATACTTGAAAAATGTTTTTTTATTTTTGTTTTATTTTTGAATATTTGCTAATATTAATGTGCAGAAAATATTTAATAACAGAAGAAAATTGATATTTTTGTAAGAAGTAAGTTTCTGAGCTAAACGCTCTATTGAAAGCTTCCCGCTGCACAGCTCCTAGGAGCCAGCCAGGCCCTGGTCATTGTTTAGGAAGTATTAGCGAATGACAGATTTCTGGAAACCTGGATACGTATAGTCAAATCAATTTAATAAGTGTCTTTTTTCTACTCTTCACATCCTTGATAATTGGTTTGACTACATCATGTTTCGGTGTATTAGTTGGCACTACCGAGCCATGTATTAAAACAGTAATGCAACTGGAACTCAGGGGTGACAGGTGGAGGTTCTGTGCTGAGCAACACACATTTGGAACAAACCAAGCCCGAGGAGACAAAGGTCTCTTCACCTGAACTCACCTGCACCTCAGCTCCTCAGCCTGAAGGGCCAGTGGCCAGTCTCCTGTGTCAGCCCACACTCCTGCAGGGACTCGCCACCCACCTCACAATCCTCCACACCTGAACTGAAGAACTTAATTGTACACCACCTTTGACGCAAGTAGTGGGTATTTCCCAGCTTCACAATGTTCCTTTTTTGTACAGTGCAACATTTATACAGGTAATTGTTGCTTTTTCAACAATTAGGAAAAAAAAATCCACATTTGAAGCTAAAATGTGTGCTTCTTTATAGAGAATTCTGAGATTAAATCATAATTCAAAACTTGATGGACGAAACTACTTATTATTTTAAAATGTGGTAAGACAGTAGTTCTATGGATTATATGAAGATGGAAATGCCATTTCATTTTCTATTCAGTAGAGCTTTAACTTGAAAATAGCTCAGTAAGTACCTTCTTCTAGAATTTAAATTTATATATTTAAAATTATATCTTGATACAGGCAGTGAGGAAAATAGGAAAAATAACTCATTGGAAAGCTTTTAACATTTAGAGACTTAACCACACCTTCCTAAGGAGGTTGAATGAAAATGTGGCCTTTTTTCCCTCCTGTTATTTGTATATTTTTGGAAGAGACTAATGTTTCTTCTGAACTTTGAGCCCGTAGATCTCAGTGGATTGATAAGAGTATTTTAGACAATTGCATAAGGAGCCACTGCTGTCACCACCTTTGGATTTCAGGGTGGCTGCTCCACTGAGTGCTAGACATTTGGGCAGAGTCTCTTGGGATCACACACCAGGTCGGGGATAATCTGTTCTCTTCCACCGTTTTCCTGGCATGTGCTGGGCAATACAGAAAGAATAAGCACGGGCCGACCTGGAGAGCACAGGTGCCAAGACTTGCATGTGTACCCCTGCGGTCTGCTCCCTGGTGACCACGTGACTGTCATCTGAAGTCCTGAACTGGCCCTTCCTATTAGGAAATTAGGAGTATGTAGAACTTAAGAACAAGATAAAGGAAAATGTAATAATCAGTGACATCTAAAGGAATATTTCTGTTTCCCATTTAATAGAGCCAAAGTCAAATGCACCATGTAAGAACACATCTTAAATCCTATCCAATCGGCTCTCCATGTCATGAGACCTACATGGTGGATTCAACCAACCATGGTGGAAAATATTTGGAAAAAATATATATATATATATAACAATACAACAATAAAAAGTATACAAACAAAAATATAGTATAATTATTTACATTGCATTTACATTAGGTATTACAGATAAATCACAAGATGATTTAAACTATGGGAGGATGTGCATAGATAAAAGGAACTTGAACATTCGTGCCTGATTTTCATGCCCCAGAGGGTGAGTTCTGGAATCCACGCCCTGTGGAAGTGAATACCTGTATTTATTTATACCTACTCTATGGAAAGGAAGTCCATCTATTTGCAGTCATCTTGGCTGTTTCAAAGAAAACCTATTGACTCCAAGAGCTCAGCTTTAATTGGTGTATTTTATTTATAAGGAGGTTACTGTAAGCGTCTCAACATCAGTACATTGTTTCATCTGAAGCATCTCAATTCATATTACTTAAATAAATGCAAGTAGTTTGAGTATTTCTCATCTTTAGGAATACCTTAAAAACTAACCCCTGAAAAGTTAAACCTTTATTCATGAATGCATGTTAAATAATAACAAAAAATAACCCTCAATTTTTTTTTTATGAGTGAAAATAAATCAATGTTTCATTGAGGGTAATGCTCTTCAAACATAAAAAGTGATTGCTGTCAGCTCATGTGTTCTAGAGACAAGAGAAGGTTTTGGCTCACATGTTCCTGGTTTTACAGATTTCTTATATATATACATATATACACCCACATGTGTATAGACTGATGCTGGGGGTGCCAAAAGTGTATACACATTCTAAGAGATGTGATCTGTTATATCTTATGTGATGTATAGACTTTGAGCACCTCTTGTAATTACAGAAGTCAATGTGACTTGTGTTCACCTTTCCTTATGAGTATACATTGAGTATTACAATTTTAATACAATGTTTTCCTTTCCTAAATGTATATACCTTTTTTTGGCACCCTCTGTATATTGTTGTGTACCTGGATTACTACAAAAGGTTTGAGACAGACTGTGTTACGGTCCGTCATTTCACTTCCAAGAAACACAGTCTGCCAAGTCCTTTCTGATTCACCCGTGCGAGTGTCGACTTGCTCGGTTTATTGGTGTTGCTGGGAGGGCTTCCTTTGCTTCCATCCTCATGCATTTTACGTTTCTGGATTTCCTTGTATCTGAGAACTTTCGTAATGACCCACGTAGAGCTAGAAGGGGCTGTACAAACTCACTGTGTTGGAACCAAAGCAACCCCACTTGCTTAAGTGCATAATTTGTGGCCTCCCAGAGTGTTAACTAAATTCAACTGACATCAGGTAACAAATCGGTTTTTATACAGCAAAAACCCGATGCTGATGTCTCATTGCTGTGGAATTCAATTATGCAGTTTTTAAAACCCTGTATCTGGCCTAGTTTGTCATTTTTGCTCTAATAACCAGTCTGTAGACTTTTGAAAAAAATGCATTTAATTTGCTGCCCAATATTTTCTGTGTAAACAATGTTTCTGGAGTACATTTTAAAGTTTTAAAGAATAATGGTATCTAAAACATACTTGTTATTCAAATTTGATGATGTCAAATGTAATATAATATATGTTGTTCCTTTTTGCTTTTTTTGCACTCTGTAACTGCACTTTTTAAATTTGAAGAGCCATTTTGGTATACAGTTTCTGTAAAGATGCTAAGAAACAAGGTTGTGTTGCATACAGTTTAACTTATCTGACTATGAGTTTTATCAGAGTACTGAATTGTATCAATTTGATTGTATTCAATATCAGCTTTGATAATTGTGTACCTTAAAATATTGAAGGAGAATATAATTTACAAGATATTGTTAATTTTTATTTATTTTAATTGGGATCTGGAAAAGGACCACAACTGAAAAATAAAAATTTTGCACCATACTGAGTTATTTGGAAAAACATTTTATAAATGTATCACATTTTATGGCCTCCCATAGTGAAGAATTTCCTGAAATAGAAGGAGTTGTATTAAGAAATTCTAAGTGTTAGTATTTTTAAAATAATATCTTAGAGTACTTAAAAGAAGTATTTCTAAAAAGAATAGATACCTGTTGAGAAGTAACTTGTAAAGGGAAACGTCAGCCAGAATTGTGTCTTGTGATTCCGCAGGCATCTGGTAAGAGGCCTGGCTCCCTGGGCTTTCGGAGCAGCCGACAGTGTCTTTCCGAGCCCCCGCCACGATGATGGCTTCCTTCATCCACTGTTCAGCAGTGCACAGGGTACTTTATCTGCTTCTTAGCTCCCTGGATCCTTATTTAGCCTGCAGACAGGGCAGGGAGTGATGGCTATGGCCAGTTTATGAGAAGGTCATTTGTCCTGGGTCACACCAGTGACAGTAGGGGACCTGTCGTGAGAGATGAAGTCTTCTGAGCTGCAATTCCACCACTGTCTGTCCATGTCAGAGGCAGTACAACGTCTGGAGGAGTTAGTCTCAGATCTAGCTTAGAGTGTTCTTGAAGGAAATAGAAATTCTTATCAAATAGAATCTTGGGGATCTCACAGAACCAACAGACTGAGCCTCAGTTCAAAGTCTGAGAACCCAGGGGGTTAAGGAAAAGATCTAATGATGCTTTCCTCTCTCAGCCTCTGAGACACCACGGCCACCTGGTTTCCTGCTTATATCTCAGCCTCCTGATGGGTCTGCCACAATCTCTCCCCCGTCCCCCCTCTGGACCTGTAAACACTCCAGGGCCTCAGAGCACATCACAGTGCTGGATCATTCCATAGGACTCTATGTCTTCAATTTCATCTCCTTACTAATGATCCCAGCCTAGATTTTTCCTTGAGTTCCAAATGTCTATATGTAACTACTCAGCTCACACTTCCACTTAGATATTCCCTAGACATTTAAAGGTGGCGTGTACAATAACTGGTATTACCCTAAAAAATGTCCCTTTTACGATGTTTCCATCTGGATTAAATTCAACTCCATCCTCCTTGTATCTGGTACCCAGAAGCTGCTCACCCACTGGGAGGTACTAACTGACTCATCTTCCGACGATCTCAGAGAGGGGCACTTTTCACTCTTTACAGCAATGGCAGAAACCGCAATTTTGAAGACATTACACAGGAGGAATATTTTCCAAGAAACTAGAGTTAGAAGATCACAATTGTCAAAAGGGTAAAATTATAGACACTGAATTTGACTTTGATCCATTTTAGAACTTATTTTTCCCCAAATGGTCATAAAACAGTATAAAACCTAAGTGCTGTTCCTTTCTAACAGGGATTTGTTAGGAAGGAGATATAAAACATGAATTTGTTTTAAGTGCTCTCTTGTCACCAGCTAA